GAGACCGGGGCAGGGATATTGTACGGGTATTGGTGGGTGTAATAGGTTGTGTTCCGTGGCCAATGAGATATAGCTTGGTTACACTTTTTCCATGTCCGTGTCGGTTAAGGACCGTTTGTTGCTATAGATTCTAGTCGGGTCATAGACTTATTATCCTGAGCACATACTTGCTTATGGGAGCGGCAATGCTTGTTGCTCTCTTGTCGTGGGTTATGGCTCTTTCCGAACCGACTGATTGGAGGCGGGGATGGTGGATATCTAAGCACCACACTGAGTCCAGGACTCAGGAGTGGGGGCTTGGAGTCCAAGTTTGGACGGGGACCTGGACCCCTTGACAGAAGAGTGGTGGGTTGGTCTTGCTTGTGCCTGGGGTATAAGCGAGGTGTGTGTTTCGGAGTACCCAGCTAGGATACATTGGTTCGCGAATCGTCGTGTGATACGGTACGGCTTGACTATGATCTAGCACCATAGTAAGAACTGGAATATGAAAGGAAGTGAATGGATCTGATTGTTCAACTCTTGCTTGAAAGTAGAACATGTGCTTACATAGAATGGTTAGCTAATGAACTAATCATGACTGCTAATAAAACACATACATAAGGATTCACTACTAGTAATGCTTTTCGCAAATAAAAATAAAACCCAACAAACCATAAAGCTTATCATATCCTTTGGAGTCGAAAAATTATTCCCACTAGTCGGGTAAGTCTTACGAGTACATTGTGTACTCATGGTTTATTTGCCCCTGTTGCAGGTGCAGCTTGAGGAGTGGCTCTTGTGTGGAGGATTCTTCTGATGGGTACAGACGGATCCTTGTATCTTATCGTTAGATGTTTATTTCAATTCCGCTGTTTAAATTTCGCACTCTGAACTTGGTATTGTAATAATGTATTTTTAAGAACTCTTGTTGTATGAAATGGACTAAGTATTGTAAACTTGTTCTCATTATTGGATCTTGGATGAAAAACGTGGATTATTCGAGTTCTCCCTTGGGGTGTGCTCGATGGGACCGTCCGATGTAGCTTACTTTCGGGGTACTTAGCGTCTAGTGGAAGACGAGCGCATCAGGAAACGTGCTATTTCAGACGGTTCTACCACAGCATGCCTTTATTGTCATCAATCCAACCATCTGGGCCTTCTAAACCCTCAATTCTTTTTTTCCTATTTCTCTAATTGGCTACTGCCATAAAATATACTATATTCCTATCTTCTTCCTTAACCTCCCTATCTCTAGACCTTTGTCTAGCTTTGATCTCCTCCATCTTCCAGATAGATTCAATCTCTCTATTAATGTCATCCATTCTTGCTCTCTCGGATGGGATCAACCCCCTCCTCTCTAACTGGTTATCTAAAATCTGAAACTCCTCAAGGAGCCCTTTCTTACATTTCTTTAAGCTAGCATTAACATTAATTGACCAACCTTTACACTTTTTCCTTAACAATCTAATTTGAAACTGCCAGATGTCTAATACATCAGTGAAGGCACAAGGAGTAGCCCAGGTCTTAGCAACCAGATCTCTAAAGTCAGGTTGCTCCAACCACCATTTTTTAAAACGAAATAATCTAGGTTTCTTACTCTCCTTAGTGCCAAAATTTAGAATCAACGGGACATGGTCACTAGGAGCCCTAGCCTTAGCTGAAACAAAGGCTAAAGGGAATTTCTGTTCAAAAGTAGTAGAACATATAATTTTATCTAAAGCAGCCATGATTGGAACTTCTTGATTATTGGTCCAAGTATAAGCTCTAGATGAATTTTTAAGCTCCACCAGGCCAAATTTATTAACCCATTCCTTAAAAAGATCAGCCCACTTGTAATTAATATTACCGTTGCCTTTTTCTTTAACACTGGCCACTATATTAAAATCACCACCGATAACAATAGGTCCTTCCCAGTTATCTAGGAGGCTCTCTAACTCTTGCAAAAACTCTAACTTTCCTTCCTCATAAGGTGAGCCATACACCACAATCAATCTCCAAGTGAAATTATCCACATAATTCCTAACTATAGCAGCCACACTATATGTGCTAACTTGCCAAGATATGGCCTCAAACTTGTTATTATTTATATCGACTAGGATGCCTCCTGTGGCAGAACCGTCTAATCTAATGCCTCCCAGGAGTGCTTGTCTTCCATTAGACACTCCCAAAGGAGGACACTAAATTACTCGGTTCCGTCGGGCACACCCCAGGGGAGAACCCGAAAATCCACATTTTTGCCATCGGGATCACAAATGAGAGAATAAAACTTACATCATTTAACTATTTCTTACATCACTTTTAATATAATATCAGAGTATAATATTTATTATTACAACAGCGGAATGTAATCATATTATCAGAGTTATAAATAATTTAATTGAACAACGGAATATAAACATGTGATCAAAACTACAACGGAAATAAATAGATATTCATGGCATAATGAAGCATTGGTATATAAGCTATGACAACAGATTATAAAGCTTTCATTTATAAAAACATTTGGTGAGAGTTGTAAATAAAAACTACGATCGCAGCGTAAAGGAAATCCTCTCTGAGCCCACTAGAAGGAATCCACACACAAGAGTCAGCTCTCACATCCACCTGTCACCTGCAACAGGGGGAATAAAACCCTGAGTACTCAATTGTACTCAGCAAGACTTACCCGACAGGAGAAAAGAAAAGACTCCAAAGATATGCAAGGCTATCTGGCTTGTGGGTTTATTGTATCTGCAGGAAGCATTACTAAATGTGCGTCCTTATATTTGATTTTTATTAGCAGTGCATTGGTTCATTAACTAACCATTCTATGTAAGTACATGTACTACTTTCAAGCAGGTGGTAAGCAATCAGATTTCCTTTTCTTTCCATCTTTTATCTTTCAGTTCTTACTACGGTGCTAGATACGAAAGCAAGTTGTACCGGATTACCCGGTGATTCGCGAATCAATGCCCCCAGCTGGGTACCCCGAAAACACACGCCCCGCTTGTACCAAAGGCACAAGCAGGATCAACCCATCACTCTCTTGTCTCGGGTGGTCCCCGTCCATACTGGGACTTCAAACCCCCGCCCCTGAGTCCCGGACTCAGTGCGGTGTAAGGATCTCCTCCACCAAAATAAAACCCTGACAGTCGGTCCGGAAAGAGCCGGATCCGCGACAAGAGAGCATCAAGTCTTCTAAGCGCCCATACCCAAGTATGTGCTCAGGATAATAAGTCTGTGACTTGCCTCGATGGCTTATACAACGATCGGTCCTTAACCGACACAGACAGGGAAAACAGTGTAACCAAGCCATGCCCCGCTTCCACGGCGACACAACCTCTTACACCCATCAATACCCAAACCATATCCCTGCCCGGTCACAATTTTTCTTTCCACCATTTATATTTTCCAGGTGATAATAATCAAATAATATATTTCCTATCTCTCGCGAGTGACAGGCAATCACTCGACTTCTACCGGAGTCCTATAGCATAGCAATCTACATGATCCTGTCATGCTAGTAAGACTCATAGGATAAAGATATATATGCAAGTGAGTTTCATTCAACTCCTTAAAACTTAATGCACAAATATAAATTAAACTGCAGAAAATAGGGGTTATGCACCGGGGCTTGCCTGGGTAAGATATATATTAAAAGTTAGTATCTGCATTTTTAGATCATCCACCATCAACTGAATAGAAAGTCCATTGCATCATCTCCTGAAGATAATACCATTACACCATCTTTGGATTCTCAATCATCTTTTGATCGATCCGTTGATCCACCATCGTACCTATATGACATGCATGCGATGAAATGCAAAGATGTAATTAATCAACTGCAATTGTGACTCGTAAAATACGACGTACGCCACTCGAGTTAACGGCTAGTTCTAACGACGACCGTACTTAGGCTACATATACACATTGTCGGATAAGACGTTATTTCCCAAGAATTATTTTAGTTATATAAACCCAAGTTGTTTCTTTATTTCATTCTATCGATTTAATCTTTATTCGGAATAGGGCATTATTTTCTATTTATCAAACTAATTATTCTGGAGCTACAAAATTACAGTAAGTATCTAATATTGCTAGAAGCCTACTGTATAAATTTCAGATTCAACAATATTACCAATTTATCATGGAAATTCCTACAAATTTATATTTTATAATATTAAGTACCTCAAATTAATTATATAGCTTCCAAGAATATTATCACACTATGTGAACAAAATATTTTAACAGGTAGATCATGATTTTAGAAGCCTAACAAAACTAGTTTGGCATTTTTATAATTTTTCTATGATTCACTACGAATTTTACAAGTTTATTTCCAACTAAATTAACAAAGGCTTTTAGAAACGAACAGAGCCAGCGGCCATCAAAATCTAGCCCAGCGAACGCGCAGCCACAGCGTGGCCCATGACCGGCGCTCTGGCCCGTAGACACGCACACGGCCCAGGCGACACTCGGTCGGCCCAGGTGCGGCGTGGGGGGTTCAGCGCCCAGCGGCGGCGGCACCAGCCCAGCCGCCCAATGACGGTGGCCGCGCCCAACGAGGGACGGGTGCGAAAGCGCCAAGTCAACCGGCAGCGCCGGCCCACGCGCGGCGGGCGCGGCCCAACACGGACTGCGGCGGTAGAATTAGCGAGAAGGCCCCCCGGTTTAAACCGAAACTAACTCGCAGTACAACCTATACTGTTCATGTGAGTCACGTATTCACAGTAAAGACCTTGTATAAAAATCCTGTTTGGATGTATACCCTCGCTTCATCTTCTTTAGACAGAGGAGCAGAGGAGGTCCGGCCGGGCAAGTCTCCACGGCGGCATCGGCGGCGCGCGGCAACGCGGCACGGCGGCCGGCGAGGCAAGCTCCGGCACCGGGCGGAACAGGCGCGCCCCAGCAAGTCATCCTCTTCTCCATCATCACCCAAATCATCATCCCCTCCATCATCACCATCATTCCCCTGTTCCTTTTGCACCTATTTCTGTTGAACTTCCACAATAAAGGATACCAGATGTAGCTTCTTGTTCATCTCATATAGCCTTTTCTGTAGGAATTTTGCTCAAGTCCTTACAAGCAATCTTAACTCGAACAATCTCGTAGAAGGATTTGAAAAGAGTTGACCAATCAACCTCGGTCATGAGCCCAAAGCCAGAGGCAATCTGAGCAAACACCTTCCAGTGACACCATCTGGGGGGTATGCCATATATCTGAACCCAGATTTCCTGTAACTCACCATAAGGTTTGAGATCTCCAAGCCATTCCAGCACCTCCACTTGTACACCGTCCTTCCTTAGATTGAAGGATGGGTAGTTTTTATGTCGGCTACTTTCTTGTTGGGAGGGAATCTTACCAGAAAATACCATTTTCTAACTCCCTGATCTGCCATGGCCATTCCTTAGAATAGATCTCTGATAACTCAATCTCTAGCTCAGCCAAGGTGATCTCCCCTGTTTTGACCCTAACAACTCCACAATTGGTGAGATTAAGCCACTGGGTAGACTCCACATCAGGCACTTCTACATGATAAAACCCTAATCCCAGGCTAGCACTCCCCATGAAAGCTGCAATCGGATGATCCCTCTTCCAAGCCAGGCACAGATTCATATGGTGGCCAACAATCCCACCAATGAAGCAAACCTTAGGCTTAGTACAGTTACCCACAAAATGTCCAGGCTCCCCACAATTGTAACATGTAAGCTTCCTATATCATGGATCAATGACAACGGGAGGAGTCTTAGAGGTATCAATACCTTCACGCCCCTGCTGAACCCCTCTTCTGGGTGGTGGGGGTGGTTGTCTCACCGGCGACTGCTGTCTAGGAGGGGGCTGCTGCCGAGGTGGAGGTGGCTGCGGGCGTGTAGGCCGTTGCCCCTGATCCTGCCACGCTGGCTGCTGCTGGTGCTGCTGGGGGAACCTTGCCTGATTTTGCTGCATCGGCCTCTGGGGCCACGGTGGTGGAGGGCGCCGTGGCTCTAGTTGCCAGACCTAACAACCTCCTTCAGCCATGGATTTCTTCAACACCTCAGTGTAGGTTCCCTTAGCCTCTCCCTGCTTCCAGATATCTCTTGCGAAGCTGATTTGTATTGGAGATTTGTCAATTCGATCCGATCTACTAACTGGGAAATAATCAGGCCCCGTTTAGATCCAAAATTTTTTGGATTTTGGCTCACTGTAGCATTTCGTTTGTATTTGGTAATTAGTGTTTAATTATGGACTAATTAGGTTCAAAAGTTTCATCTCGCGATTTCTCACCCAACTGTGCAATTAGTTTTTTTTTCGTCTACATTTAGTACTCCATGCATGTGCCGCAAGATTCGATGTGACGGGTACTATGCAAAATTTTTTGGAATCTAAACAGGCCCTCAGACAGAGTAAATTCCTTTCGCTCCACCAGATCCCTCCTAACCCAGAACAATTGGCCGGATTTGGTGGTGGTAGTGGCGCTAGACGGAACCCTAGGTCTGCTGGGACGCGGTGGCGAGTCGATTGCCCATAGCTGGCCAAAAAAACTCAACAATGACTTCGTCCTCACCAATCACGATGTCCCGAGGCTGGATCCTAGCCTCAATGGATGAACTCGCCCTTCCCTCTCTGGCTGGTGGGGGACGCGTACCATCACCTTTCTGTCGCGCGGACCCAACCTCAGGGTGGGGGCATGTGGTCAGCCAGGGCGGGTACGGCCATGGGGCGGGTTGAGGTCGTGGCTCTGTCACGACATGGGAGATGACCCCGTTCCAGTGTAATCTCCCTTGTTTTTTTTTCTCCTCCTTTTTGTCCATTCTTTTTTGCCAGGACACTTGGTTCTTCTTTTTCCAATGTTTTTTCTTCTGCTTTCCAACTGTTTTCATTATTATAACTCTTGTCATTCATCTCTATCTTTTTTTTGCAAATCCAGTAGTGAAGCTCCCCCTTTTAATCACCACCCTTAGGATAAATTTTGTTATTAGTCTTTCTTAAATTTGTGTCAATTCAGTTTTATAATCTTTTTATTTCACATAAATATGTCATGAGCTTTTTTCTCCTAAGGGCGTGTTTGGGACTGCTCCGCTCCACGTTTTTCAGCTCCGCTCCACGTTTTTTAGCCAAACGGTTTCAGCTCCACGCACTCTGCTCCAGGAAAAAGGGTGGAGTTGTGAGAGCACCTAAAGAGTACTCCACAAACTCCAGTTTTTTGTGGAGCTGCTCTACGGTGGAGTTTGTGGAGCAGAGTTTGTGGAGCAGTCCCAAACACCCCCTAAATCTATAGCACTCCTTTTTGTGATGTTGGAATTTTTTTTCTCGTGATGTTGGAACAAACTTTCCCGTGAAGCTGCAAATTTCTTTTTTGAGGCTAAAACATTTTCCTAGTAAAGCTAGAAAACTTTCTTTATGACACAAGAATATGTTTTTATTTAACCAGGATTTTTTTTATGTTGGGATGGTGCTACACAAGCAGTAGTAGAGGAAAGCGGCGAGAGGCCGACGTGCATGCCAAGGATGAGCTGCAATGGCGTATGGTGCCAAGTCAGCAAGTCTCCAAGGCATCAACGGTTGATCGATCAATGACAGAGCGCGAACGAGCAACACTACTGATGCATTTCTTGATTATCCATATGACAGCCCACGTTGGGATTGTAGAGATACTTTTATTTAGACCGGATTAAATAATAAATTGTTCAATATTTCAGTTCATGATTTGATTGGTTGAACCATTGGCTAATCCAAATTTAAATGAGCATAAGTTTTATTTCTAATCAAAGCTACATTGACAATTTGGTGGTGAAAATATTTGTTTTCTAGAGAAGGTCAATGGTCACGTCATGTTGTATTTTGTTATTCATTTTTACGTCTACAAAAACAAAAACAAAAAATAGCAGAGCTCGGTCGACGGCTCGAATCCAACGTTCAGATGGGCCGGGCGGGGCTGACGTGCAATTGCGGCCATTGTGCAAGGGGGACAGTCTCGAGTGCTTGTTGTAAATGGAGCATGTTGCATATATCTTTTCGTGAGAAGGATGCACAAATCATATGGTCGTAGATCGGCAGAGAAACAGATGATGAACATCGTCACGTGATCACAGCTGTCAGGCTACGGCTCGAATCCAGCATTCAGATGGGCCGGGCGGGGCGGATGCGTAATTATGACAATGGTGGAAAGGGGACAGTGTCGAGCGCTTGGTGTAAACGGAGCTTGTTGCATCTTTTTGTGAGAAGGATGCTCTAACTCACTGCCGATCGAGGACACCCCTAACCTTATGACTACCTGGCTGCGCATCATGTAGTCGTTGAACGCTGCGCCGGCCCCCCAACTCAGGGAAATGCTAGACATGTGTCTCTCACCAGTGGCGTCGAGCCCTTACATATCTCCCACACCGTGAGGCGTAATAAAATTACCTATGTGACGGTTGCCTATTGTCTATAAACAGGAGTAACCCGCGCTCACGAGTATATTATACTACACAGAACAACCAAGCCTACACTATACAAACCCCTAAACCGATCACAATGCCTCGCTCAGCCGTGGCCGCGTAGTCCTCGTCCTGTTGTGTGCTGAGCTAGCTGCATCGGGGATTGCCCCCGCCGGTGTTGACACCACTGCTGCTGGCATCCCCCGTGGGCCGGAGGTCTCCCAACTAGTGTTTCGCCGTCGCCACCGCCGTCCCTCCCAGCTGGTAGCATTCCACCGCGCCGGCACCCCTGGCGGGTGGTCTCCCAGCTAGCGTTTCATCACCACCCCCTTCTAGCTGGTAGCATTCCACCATCGATGGCACCCCCAGCGGGTGGTCTCCCTGCCAGCATTCCCCCACCACCGCCCCTCCTAGCTGGTAGCATTCCACCGCCGCCGGTCATGCGCCCTGAGAACGGTATTTGGGCAAGCTTGTTACTCTTTGTACTCTTGTCCTGCACGGGTGGTGGAGAACTTGTGTTTGTGGTGTATGTGATGGACATCACCCTCACCCTACGCTGCCTTACTATCTCCAACAATACGATGCGTTGCCTTGTTATCCCAACGATATGACCCATAACAGGAGACCCTGTGCTACAGTGCACACATCACAAGGCACATCCAATGGTGCATTGGGTAGGGGCATATGCCTCTAAGGGCAAATTTAACTTTCCCCGAGAAATATTGGGTGCGGTACTACAAGGTTGGCTCTATGGCGGGACTAAGGTCAAGCTAGTCTCACCTTCTACGCTACAATGATGACGGCCGCAAGATCGTCCGCCATGTCCGTCGTAGCCCCAATCACGGCCCAGCAGTGTTGTCGGCCGCAGCGTCGCTCCATTTGTGTCAGAAAGTCTAGCACCAGTTCCTCTATTCAGACTCGCATTAGGCAACCCTACCCTATGAGCATCTTTGAAGACTAGACCGGCAAATGCTCGAGATTGGTGGCCCCCATCGTGGCCCCGATCGTGGAGTTGTCAATGCTAGTTGCTCCGTTCTGACTCTCATTAGGCAATCCTACCCCTGTGAGCATCTTCGAAGACTGGACCGACAAATACTCAAGATTGGTGGCACCCATCACGGCCTCGGTCGTGGAGTTGGCAGCACCACTTGCTCCATTCAGACTCTCATCAGGCAGCCCTACCCCTATGAGCATCTTCGAAGACTAGATAGGCAAATCCTCGAGATTGGTGGCCCTAATCGTGGCCTTGATCTAGACTCCACAACCGGGATCACGATGGGGACCGTGGCCGACCTGGTGGACGATCTTGCGGCCATCATCATTGTAGTGTAGAAGGTGAGACTAGCTTGACCTTAGTCCCGCCATCAAGCCAACCTCGTAGTACCGCACTTAGTATTTCTCGGAGAAAGTTAAATTTGCCCTTAAGGGTCCATTTGGATGTTGGCATTCAAATTGGGTCAATGGAATTGGGCTCCAAATGAATACCATGATGAAATGGTATTGGACCGTGATTCCATTTCTAAGTGTTTGGATGTAGTAATTGGTCTAGGGAATCGAACGTCCTCCAGCGCTCCATCTTCCTTCTGGTCGGTGAGCCTCACCCTCTCCTCCCGCCGATGACCCTGTTGTCGATGAAATATGGTCAACAGTCTACCGAGGGGTATGCCCACGGTAGTAGATGAATCGGTGGAGGTGTGCGATACACAAACTAGATGGTGACACAGGCGTAGAGACAACGATTTAGGAAGGTTCAGGCTGTCAAGTCGATGTAATACCCTATGTCCTGTGTCTTTGGTGGATTGTATATTATGATGAGGTATGAGACCCTAGGATAAGCCCGGGATCTGTATATGTGTATATGGGATATCTGGGGATGCCGACTAGGGGACCCCTGCCCTTCCTTATATACTCTAGAGGGGTAGGATTATAGATAAGTATCCTAGTCGGTTATATGGCAAGTATTCTATTTAGATTACAATATCTATAGTATCCGATCAGATCTTCTAGGTGCCTTGCGGTGTACGCCAACCAGTGCCATGTGCCGCAAGTCTTAATGTCATGGGTTGGACCATCCCTGATGGTGCGACCAATGTCCTTTGCCATGGGTACCTGGGGTTATATCTTGCACACCTATACCCACCAAACCACGCCCTGTCTGCTAGTGAGCTCCGCCCCTCCGTCTCCACGCACAGTGAACTCGATCGTGGAGCCTCCACCCACCAGTGACCTCCTCCCCTTCCACACCACAGATCTACAGGAGCACATGCCAACAAGCTCACAGAGTCTCCACCCTCAGCAAACTTCGGCCGTGTAGTGTGCTGGTGAGCCTCGGCCCCTCCGCAACGATGAGCTTCGTCCCCTCCGAGCCGGTGAGCTTCACACCTCCGCAAGTTGGCGAGCCTCGGCCTCTACGTGATGGTGAGGTGGGCGTGGCTTCTCACCTCCACGCATTGGCGAGCCCCGACCCCTCCATGATGGCGAGCTGGGCGTGGCTTCCCTCCGTGTGCTGAGCTCCACCTCGATTCCTATCAATACCGAGCTCCACAGGTCTATATTGGAAGCTTGTTGTCGATAGAATATCATCGGCAGTCCTCCGAGAGGTATCTCACGTAGGTAGATTGATCGGTAGAGATGCGTGTAATCGAGAATAAAAAGGCAACAGAGACACATGAGTTAGACAGGTTTAGGCCGTCAGTATGACATAATACCCTACTCATATGGTTTGTTGGATTGTATTGGCCATCGTATGATATTGCGTGAGTTTGGAGGGGGTCTCTGCCTGCCTTATATAGTCCGGGTGGCAGGGTTACAAGTCGGTTAGATCTGGGAGATAACCGAAAAGTAATAATAGATTACAGGAATCATGGGATCATACATATCTTAACAGATCTCATAGTATCTTTAGGATATCTTCCCGGTGTCTTGCGGGAGGCGCCGAGCAGTGTCATGCCCCGTAAGGCTTTGTCTTGTGGGCTGGGCCGCCCCTGAGGGCGCAACCCATGTGGTCTGTTGTGGGTATCCGAGGTCGTACCCCCCATAGCTAGTCTCCGAGCGCCTTGTACCCGTTGTGCAATGCCATCTTGAACTTGTCCGAGTAGGTGCAAACAAAGCCGAGCAGTCAAACTCATGGTTCGACCACCGTGACGAGTTACCAAGAAGTTGTGAGCAGTCGCCAAGCAGCATGAACCGTCGCCGAGCAGCATGTGCCGTCACCGAGCAGTGTAACCCAAGTACGGGCTGCCATAAGGGTGTAAGGAGCTCAAGTTCAGAAACGAAAATTTCTTCGCAGTGGACCAAGTGTGCCCACTTAGAGTCCAACCATGAGAAAGAGAGATAGTCTTCTTTAGCTTCAAGAGGCGTGGAGTGTGCCCACTTAGTCCCCGAGCCTAACAATATGTGACGTAGTCACGTGGTGCCAGGGTCCAAAGTAGAAGAAAAGTAGAACACTAGCCGAGCAGGCAGCCAGTCTCCGGGTGTAGCCCCGAAATGAGAAAAAAGCACATTCACCGTAAGGTGAAGTGTGCCCACTTAGTCCCTGAGCCTGACAGTAGGTGACGTAGTCACGTGGTGCCAGGGTCAGAAACAACAGTCAACAGAAGAAAGCTTGCCGACGTCATCTTTCATGCGCGTATCAAGACCCTAGACGTGTTGTCCAAGATCAGCACCCTGATCCGAACAGCATGGAGCATCTTGATAGCACACCGATGAGACGTATCAAGACCCGACCACCAAGGGAGTCCTCAGCTTAGCTGGCGATGTCTGAGCACCGAGGAGTCCCCGACGTAGCTGGCGATGTCCGAGCACCGAGGAGTCCCCGACGTAGCTGGCGATGTCCGAGCATAGAGGAGTCCTCGGCGTAGCTGGCGATGTCTGAGCACCAAGGAGTCCACGACGTAGCTGCCGATGTTTGAGCACCGAGGAGTTCCCGGCGTAGCTAGCGATGTCCGAGCACCGAGGAGTCCTCGGCGTAGCTAGCGATGTCCGAGCACCAAGGAGTCCTTGGCATAGCTGTTAGTTGGCAGTGAAGTACGTCCGATAGGTGGTCCGACCACTAAGGCGATGATCATCTTGTCCAATCCCAGAGCGTAAGCTCGTTTCACCGAACCGTGCCCCTACGAAACAAATGTGTAGAACAGATAGTATATGACGTAAAAATAGAATATATGAACTCCAGAGAAGAAATCAGCAATAGCGTATTCAGCTCGATGATTAGTTGGTATGAAGATATATAGCCTGTTAACCATAATGCGGAGCGCGGAGCCCATGTACGTGAAGGAAGAACAAAGCGTCGCTAAGGACCCGCTGCTGACCACCCATAACGCAGAGGGCAGACGCTCGTGCACGTGTAGGAAGGAGCCGGAGACAGGGCCGTCGCTATAGGCGTCCGAGCATCAACATGACTGTTTGGGGGTTCGCCTAAGACTTAGCTGTATGTCATCTTTTAAGATGGTATACATGAAAGAAAATCATTTGGAGAGCAAACATAAAGAAAACAGCTCGGAGAAACATCATGGAGATATATGAAGGTTGGAGAATATTTAGAAAAATATTAAAGCGTGACTTAGCTTTAGACAGAACGTCTGGTCAGCGAGGGAGCGGGCGGCGAATTGTCGGTGAAGGCGACCTCGAAGGTGGTTCCGAGATCGGATCTGCAGTCGCAGGTGTTGGGGTGATCGGCGCAGTATCGATCTACACCGGCTCGATGAGCTCTCCGACTCCGTCAGCGTTGATGATCCACGAGATCGATACAACCGTGAAGATCTGGCGGGGCTGTGGGACGGACGAAGAGCCTGTAGAACGTACTATCTTGTTTGATATAGAAACAGCACGCACACCCCTACCTAGTGCGCCAACTATCGACAGAATATCAGCGATAGTCCTCCGAGGGGTATCCCACGAAGGTAGATTGATCGGCAGAGATGTGTGTAATCGAGAACAAGAAGGCAACAAAGACACACGAGTTAGGCAGGTTCAGGCCGTCAGTATGACGTAATACCCTACTCCTGTGGTCTGTTGGATTGTATTGGCTATCGTATGATATTGCGTGAGTTTGGAGGGGGTCACTGCCTACCTTATATAGTCCGGGGGTCAGTGTTACAAGTCGGTTAGATCTGGGAGATAATCGGAAAGTAATAACAGATTACAGGAATCATGGGATCATACGTATCCTAACAGATCTCGTAGTATCTTCAGGATATCTTCCCGGTGTCTTGCGGGAGGCGCCGAGCAGTGTCGTGCCCCACAAGGCTTTGTCTTGTGGGCTGGGCCGCTCCTGAGGGCGCAGCCCATGTGGTCTGCCGTGGGTATCTGGGATCGTACCCCCCACACTTGTTGTTGTGTGTTGTGAGAATACCATGTGGAATTTTGAGTCAAATTCGAAGATCCAATTCCAAAACATCCAAAGGCGTGGTATTGAAGTTATACAATTCCGATTCTCCAATTCCAAGCTGAATACCAACATCCAAATGGGGTGTAATAGATTTTTTATACCCAGAACAAAAAAATATAGATTGCGTCTATAGAAATTACAACGAACTAACTCTACAATTTTTAATATAAAATATTTGCAATAACCGTCAAATGAAAGAAAGCTAAAATTCAAGCACCTGAATTTTTAGCAAGTCTCTTCTTTTTTTGCCATGACACTTGGTTCTTTTCTTTTTCTATTTTTCTTTTGCTTCCAACTGTTATCATTATTATACCTCCTATCATTCATAATTATCTCTATTTTTTTGCAAATCCACTAGTGAAGATCCCCCTTTTGTCACTATCGTAGGGATAAGTTTTGTTATTATTATATTTTTAATTTGTGTTCCAATTCATTTTTATAGTCTTTTTATTTCACATAAATATGTCATGAGTTTTTTTCCTCCTAAATCTATAGCACCTCTTTTTCTGATGTTGGAATGTTTTTATGGTGATGTTGGAACAAACTTTCTTGTGAAGCTGCAATTTTTTTAAGCTACAACATTTTCCTAGTAAAGCTAGAAAAATTCTTTTTGAAGTAAGAATATGTTTTTTATTTAACCAGGAATATTTTTCCTTTTTAAGTTTTTTATAACATTTTTCCTTTTTAAGTTGGGACGGCGCTGCCCAAGCAGTAGCAGAGGCAAGCGCCGAGAGGTCGACGCACATGCCAAGGATGAGGTTCGATGGCTTATGGTGCCAAGTCTCCTAGGCATCAGAGGTTGATGACAAAGCGAGAATGAGCAACTATGCCATTTGGAGGGGAGAGAGGAGGAAGGAAATGAATTAAGAGGAACTACCATTTGGAGGGGAGAGACGAGGAAGAAAATGAATTAGAGGCACAAGGAGATATTGTGAGTCCCCTTACTTTTTTTCATTTTTCATTTATTTGCTGAGTAGTTGCCACCTCATGCCCCACATCATCGTCACCATGTAGAAAAACCACTTACATGTCAATCTCAGGGATATGCTGGCTAAATCTTTATGAGGTGTTCATATGGATAGATTGAGTGTGCATGCATATATGTCAGCATTGATGTATGAGTATATAATGTGTTTCGAGGCAAGTCTTCAGGAGATGCTCATAGGGTGTAGGGTGTGAGTGTCTGTATATGTATTGTGTTTTAAAAAAGAGTTAAATGCATGAGAGGCTCTTAAACTTATCAAGGAGTGTCACTTAGGTCTTTAGACTTGAAAATGCATTTCTAAGTACCTAAACTTGTTAAATGATACAGCTTAGGTCCATAATTGCCACGCGGTGGAAAAATATACACTGAACTCCCTGAAACCCCATCCCCTCACCACGCAGTCCTCACCCTTGCTATGCCCATCGTCCCTCCTCCTGGCGTCTGTCGCGGAATCACGGGGCGGCTGCGCGCCATCAACGACCGGTAGTGGCGAAAGCACAGTGAACTAGTGACAAGATAGAGTGCTTACATGGTTTCGTGTGACCGTACGTGCTCCCATTCATCGAAACGCGAGAGCCATTCGAGGATAGGAGGAGGCATCGACAAGAAACACGAGGGCAAAGAACCTGCGGCTAGCGATGGCGGACACGCCGTCGCCGTCACCGAAGGCGGCTGCCGCGGCGGAACCGGGGTCCGCGTCGATGCCGCTGCTGAGGCGGAGGGGCTCATACACGCGTTCCATGTCGCACGCGCGCGAAGAGCTCCGCTCGGACGCCTCCTGCCTAGCGGTCTCCTGGCTCGTGTTCGCCGTGCTCACCGTGGCCATCCCTGCCGCTGCGCTCACCGCGATGCCACGGCGCGCCTACGACACGTAGGTGCAGGTCTCGCTCACGCTCTCCGTCGCGCTCGCCTACGCCACCCTCTACTCCCTCGCCCACCGCCGCGGCCTGCCACCAAGACGGGCGGCTGTGTTGGAGCCGGCGGTGTCCGCGAACCCTCGCTGCTTGATCGAACGCGGGCGGCGCCGAGCGCGATCACCGGGCGCACGCAACACACACAATGAACTGGACAACATAATGCGATGGATTTTTTCGCTGCACAACCGCCGCAGCTTTTCGGGTTTTTTCTTGCCTTTTATTATGCGAGATACATGGGCACGAGCCCGCCGTCGCCACCACACGATCGTTGCTCGATCCGGTTTCTCGCCACGCCGAAGCGACATGCACGACGACCATGCGATGGCGGTGACCACTTACCCGACTCACGCGCCACGTCCTAGATCGGGCACATCTCCGCCCGGGACCGTGGTTCTACGCGCTAAACATGACACATGCGAGTTACAGCGGGATTACAAGCCGAAAGGAAAAAGAAACTCAACTAAACATGCTAAGTCTAACAAATCACCCCCTAATCCTGTTGTATCTTAAGGATGCCCGGCTTACATCGCGACTCCACGAACTGATCCCGCTTAGTGCTTTTGTCAATATGTCGCCCAAGCGGTTGTCGGTTCTCACGTGTTCAACATCAACTTTTGCCCATTCTTGACACAATCTCGATGTAATGGAAGCGAGTGTCAATGTGTTTACTTCTTTTGTGGAAGACAGGATTCTTGCATAGCTCTATGGCTGATTTGTTATCCACAAGAAGTTTGAACTTCTGAACTCTTCTTCCCATCAGTTCAGCTAAGAGCACCGCTAAGCCACACTCCACGACAAGCACCGCTCCCGCTGCCATGTACTCGGCCTCACACGAAGAGAGGGCAACAACTTTTCATTTTCTGTGAGGTCCATGTCACCAAATTTGATCCCCAGGAAGAATACCATGCCGGTGGTGCTACTGCATGACGAGATCACCACCATGGTCCTTTGTCAGGTATCCCAACAAAGTTCAGACCTCCATCTCCCCCGCACCATACTTGAGCCCATAGTGATAGTTCCGGATATATATCGACTATCCTTTTACAAACACCCAGTGCTCTTTGTTTGGTGACTCCATGAAACGACTTGCTATCCCAACTGCATAAGCAATATCTCGGTCTTGTGTTAACCAAGTATCTAAGACTCCCAATTATACTCCTATACCGGTAGCATCAAGTACCTTTTCTCTGCAGGTTCACGATACAAGTTTCACACTTATTTATTCCATTGGTGTATTTGTAGAATTACAGCTGACAGACCACAACTGTTCTACTATCTTGGTAGCATAGGCACTTTGGCAAATTGAAATCTCACCGTCCTTTTGAGTCACTGCATCCCAAGGTAGTAACTTAGTAGGCCTAAGTCACTCATCTTTGAAAAGCTTCTTCATCTGCTCCTTGAATCCACAGATCTTCATGCTATCTGGACCATAGATGATTAAATCATCTACATACACACCAACTATGAGGAATGAATCACCCTCACTTCTTCCGCATACACTGACATGCTCTTCCTCACTCCTTTCGAAACCGAGTTTGTACTGACTCTTGATCAAGTTTTGCATTCCATGCTCTTGGAGCCTGCTTCAACCCATATAAGGCCTTATTCAACTTAAGCACCAACCCCTGCATTGTCCGGATCTTTAAATCACTGGTGGTGATGAACATACACCTCTTCTAGGAGATCCCCATTTAGAAAAGCAGATTTAACATCCATATGATGGACCTCCCAAATCCCCATTTGCAGCTAGAGCCAAAAGTAATCTACTGTTTCTAGTCCGGCCCACAGTGCAAAGACTTCATCAAAATCCACCCTTGTGTTTTGTGCATACCCCTTTGCCACAAGTCGAGCCTTGTGTTTGACAATGTTACCAATTTGCATCTTTTTCACTTTAAACACCCACTTGAGACCTATAGCTCGTTGACCTTTTGGTAGCTCTGTCGGTCTCCAAGTGTTGTTGTCCTTGATGGATTGCAGATTCGCATTCATTGCATCCCTCCAACATTTTTCTTCCAAAGCCTCCTCAACACTTGCGGTTCATCATTTGCAAGCAAGCATAACCCACTATATTCATAGTCATGTATCTCCTCGGTGGCATCAAACAAATCGTTAAGGACTGAACTGTTGGACCACTGAGCAGTCTGAGCTACCTCAGAGTTCGACCCGGTGGCATTAGAACCTGCTGCTTGAGAATTATTTAGTGTCGATGGGGACCCTGGTAATGCTGGTAATGATGCGGGGTGATAGTTCGTGACCTGTTCCCCCGATCCTGCTTGACCGCCTTTCACCCTCTTCAAATACAATTTGCAGGTTGCATTGTCGGTTACCACTGAGGGTGAAGATCAATAATAAAGCTTTCGGTTTCAGCTGGCTCGAGCTTCTTGGGGTATCCCAATTCCATTTCTCTTGCTCCTCAAACACAACATCTCGGCTCACATGTAGTTGGTTGTTTACGAGGATCAAACACCCGATACCCTTTTGTTCTCGACTCATACCCGAGGAAAACCATTTTGGTTGATCTGTCGAGACAATTTTGTGATACCAGGCCCAACTTTCTTTACATGTGCTACACACCCAAAAAAGTTTTCATATGATCCACCCAGGTTTCTTTCCATGCCAAGCTTCATATGGTGTCACGTTCTGAAGGCTTTCGGTTGGAGCTCGATTTAATATGAACACTGCTGCAGTTACAACAGCTTCACCCCAGAACCTTGGTGGCACATCTTTTGACTTTAACGAGCATCTAGCCATCTCACTATGGTTTTGATTCTGACGCTCCACTACTCCATTTTCTTTGTGTGGAGAGTAAGTAAGCGGTAGTAGTGTAATGCTTGATGCTGTATTATTGGTGAAGACAGTGAATAGGTTTGAGTTAAACTCTCCCCCCTCCGTCAGTTCTCATTGCCTTCATCTTCTTGCCACATTCTAATTCAGCTTGCTGTTTAATTTTCTTGAAGTATTGCAGTGCTTCATCTTTAGCTTTCAACAACTCCACCCACATGTATCTGCTGTGGTCATCTACCACAAGCAGAAAATACTGTTTCCCACCTGGGGTTGGTAGGCTGATCTTTCCACACAAGTCAGCATGAACCAATTCTAAGCCCTGACTTGCTCTGAATGAGGATTCTTTGAGGAATGGTTTTCTGTGCTGCTTTCCCAATGTGCAGCCATCACAAACCTGTTCGACTCGATCTATCTCTGGCAGGCCTTCCACCATCCCCTTACTGCCTAGATCTCGAAGTGCTCTAAAATTCAGGTGACCAAACCTTGCATGCCACACCCAAGTTGGATAAGCTAAGTTCATGTGCAAACAAACAGGGGGTACTACTGCATTCTTCGAGGTATAGAGCACATTACTAGTGCGTGAGACATTGATCACTAGTTTACCCTCAGAATCAACAACTGTAAGTCTGCCATTTTTCATTAACACTTCACACCCAGCCTCCTCCAATTGGCCTAGGCTGATGATGTTACTCTGTAACTTGGGAATGTAATACACGTTGGTCAGTACCTTGTGTTGGCGATCTCGTCCCTCCATGACGATTGAGCCGAGCCCCTTGATCTCAACGCAGGAACCGTCGCCGAAGCAAGCGAGCACGACACCTCCTCGTCAAGGTGTGTCGATTGCTTCGCGTTCCGTCATATGTGGTTCTTTGGCTCTGTGTCCAGCACCCACACGCCGTCATCGCGATGGATGGGAGCCACCTTCTTCTCCCCTAGATGTACGAACTTGGTGGCCTTGTGCACGATCTCGCTTGCCGACGCCATGAACAACGCCGGCATGCATCGGCGACACCCACGTTCGCCGCCTCCTTCTTCTCCTCATTTTTCTTTTCCTTCTTGGGCCTCTTGCGGTCTTGCCCGGTGGCCATAGATGCCGCAGCTTGCGACGACACCTACCTTTGCGCCGAGGAGTGCCCTCCGGCGTGAGCTTGAGCGGCCTTCGGCCACCGGTTCCCTGACCGCCATCATGCTTCACCGGCGATTTGCCCTTGTCTTGTACCGCCCTTGCCCTGCTGCTCGCTTTGAGTGAGTTGGTTGGAAGGCGATGTTTGTATTTCGCGATCCGGTCCTCCTCGGCGAAGCAATCGACCAGCTTTGCCCACGATCTGTTTCTACCTTCTCCTCCATGCGTTCCTCCTCCGCGCGCAGCCTCCCCACAGTTCTTCGACCGTCATGGTTTTGGGATCACAGAACATTTCGATCGAAACCACAACCGGCGCGAATTTTGCGGGGATGACTCGGAGAAATTTCTTCACGACTCGGGGCTCATCCACCGTCTCCCCGAGGGCTTTAAGGTTGGCGACAAGATTGTTAATCCTCATGCCGAAATCGTCGACTGTCTCCCCATCCTTGAAGCTGATGTTTTCAAATTCTTGTAATAGCTTCTAGGCATTGACTTCCTTGACACGATCAGCACCGAGTCGCATCGTCTTGACCGCCTCCCACGCCTCCTTGACGGTGTTCTTTCTTCCCAACGTCGTCCACATCTCCTGTGGCACAGATCGGTTCAGGCAGCTCATCGCCTGACGATCCTTGGAACGCTTGACGTTCGTCCCCGGATCGATGGTGTACCAGATCTCCAGCGCTTCATAGTTGCATTGCATCAGCATGGACCATTCGGAGTAGTTCGTGCGCGTGAGCATCGGCCACATGAGAGAGCTCTCGCGAACGCCACTTCCCGCCTCGGTGCTCGTCGACGTCTCGTCACCCATCTTCGCCACCGCCGCCTTGCACGGGATCACGAACTTCTTCCGAGGGGGCTCTCGCGGTGGGCTAACAGACCCACTGTAGAACATACACCTATGCTCTGGTACCACTTGTTGGAGCCGGCGGTGTCCGCCGAACCCCTGCTGCTGACTGGAACGCCGGCGAATGCCGGAGCGCGATCACCGGGCGCACGCAACACACACAATGAACTGGACAACAGAATGCGATGGATTTTTTCGCTGCACAACCGCCGCAGCTTTTCGGGTTTTTTCTTGCCTTTTATTATGCAGATACATGGGCCTGAGCCCGTCCCCCGCCACCACACGATCGCTGCTCGATCCGGTTTCTCTGCCACGCCGAGCGACATGCACGACGACCATGCAGTGGCGGTGACCACTTACCCGACTCACGCGGCCACGTCCTGGACTGGGCACATCTCCGCCCGGGACCGTGGTTCTACGCGCTAAACATGACACATGCAGAGTTACAACGGGATTACAACTGAAAGGAAAAAGAAACTCAACTAAACATGCTAAGTCTAACAGGCTGTACTCCCGCAGGACCAGCACTTGCGCCCACGCCGCTCCCGACGAATCGCTCCGGCCGGAACTCGCCAGCGGCCTGACACCAGGACGGGCGGCTGTACTCCCGCAGTCCCGCAGGTCCAGCACTTGCGCCCACGCCGCTCCCGACGAACCGCTCTGGCCGGAACTCGCCGGTATCCGCGGCCGATGACGCGGTCCAGCTCCTCGGTGGCCGTGGCCAGGGCGTCGGGAATCCTCAGGAGCTCCGACATGGCCCACTCGACGGTCACCGACGTGGTGTCCGGCAATCCAACAAGGAGGTTCTGCAATCGAAGTGCAAGCACGCACGCAAATGATGTCGTCGTTAAGCATCAGCGTATCAGACTAACAAATGGAGTTTCAAGTTTGTTACGCTCCAGTACGCCTTACATACCAGCGTGAATGCCTTGACGCCATCTCGCCACGGGACCATGTCCCCGACGTCCAGCCCGCCACTGACGTTCAGGCGTTCAGCCAGGCAGTGCGGCTCGGACACGTCCTTCTCTCGTCCTGGTGCTGCAGCACCTCCCCGACGTTGCTCACGGTGAAGACAATGTCAGCCAGAGAGCTCCCTCCGAGGCTGGTGGCCGAGGCGCTGTTCATCGTGTGAGCCCGTCGTGAGCAGGTCATCGGCTGTTGGGGTTTAGTTCCCACATTGTGTAGCGATAGTGGGGACACAACATAAAAGGTGGAGGCAGTCTAATCTATTAGGCTAGTCTTTTGGATTGAGTAAGACCCATGGCCTTATATGTTGTAGCTTCGATGGACCTAGAACCTGTGGGAGCGTAGGCTCGTATCGAGCCAGGTCGGCTGCAAGCTAGCTCCAAGATCGAGGAGAACTCGGTGGTCATCACCGGTTCCAACAACTAGTATCTGAGCCCATGGTCAAAAAGCTAAACCCGATAAAAAAATCTCGAGCGTCACATATTTATGGCGGTGGCATCCCCATGTGTGACTCGTCACATATATATGGCGGTGGCATCCCGATGTGTGACTAAGAGGGTGATTATTGGGGTTTAGTCCCATATCGTTAAAAAAGCTAAACCCGATAAAAAAATCACGAGCGTCACATCATGACGGGGGCACCCCAATGTGTGACTACGAGAGAGATTGTTGGGGTTTAGTCCCACATCGTGTAGCACCCAAAAGACTAGCTTAATATATAGGTTGGACTGTCCCCACCTTATATGTTGTGCTCCTCCACCTGGGCAGCTCTGATATCAATTATTAGAACCGGTGGTGACCACTGAGTTCTCGATCGTGGAGCTGGCTTGCAGCCAACCTAGCTCGTTACCACGATCCTGCGCTCCCACATGTCCTAGGTCCACCGAAGCTACAACATATAAGGTCATGGTCCTTATCCAACCCAAAAAATTAGTCTGATAGGTTGGACTGTCTCCATCTTATATGTTGTGTTTCTACACCATCGATATTCGATTTGGGACTAAACCCCAGCATCGGCGTAGGACATAAGGTCCATGTGCAATCCGTCAAAGATGCTGGCGTTGAGGCACTGGGAGTAGCAGTCGTAGAAGAAGCGCCTCGGCGAGCGCGAGGCCATGTAGAATATGTCGAGCGCGGAGTGGCGATTGACGTGGGGCACCTCGCTGCCGCTGTAGTGCTGGTGAACGAGGCAGACGAGCGAGAGTGTGGCGCAGGTGGACACGGACAGCAGCTGTCGTGCTTCGCCGACACCAGACCCCACGCGCAAGTCAACTTCGTCACCGTCGGACGTCGCAGCCGCCGCCCCGTGACTCCGTGACGGACACCGGGAAGGAGGGACGACGGGCAGAGCAAGGGTGCAGGACTGCGTGTTGAGGGGATGAGGTTTTCAGGGGTTAAGTGCATATATTTTTCCGCCATGTGGCAATGCCATGTCAGATAAAATGTCCGCGTGGCAAGTATGGACCTGTAGTGTATCATTTAACAAGTTTAGGTACCCTGATCGAAATACATTTTACAAGTCCATGGACCTATGTGACACCCCTTGATAAGTTCAGTGACCTCTCATGCATTTAACTCTTCAAAAAATAGCCATACAAAGACATTAAATGAACTTTGAACTAGATGACAGCGGTGACTTCGTCTATCTTGAGATCTACCAGCCATGTCTTCGGATGTGTTCGTAGGGCAATCTCGAGATCGGACGACTAGTTCGTTCAGAGGTGCTTATAGGGGTGGAGCGAGGGCGAGTGCATATACGTGGGTGTAACACATGCCTTAAATAAATTTGAGCCGTATGACACCAAAATATGCTATTTCATTACTAGGAAAGATAACATAGAAGTGCAACATATATGATGTTAGTTGCGTAATCTAAATCACCATTAAAAAAATTCTCTTGCTACGAACAGAACAACAGCGAGAAAAATACTGTAGAAAACTGATGGACATATCTACCCCTTTCTAGAAGTTTTATCATCCTGATGATATATTATATGCATGCATGCAAGTTTTCAGGCTGCCAGCTGCATGTATGCGGCTTGTTTGCATGGTCAGTACTTGGGCGTGAAGGACAAGAGCTTCCACGACGGCGTCTTGAGGATGCCCCAGACGAAGGCCTCGTACTGCGTATTCTTGCCACCAGACACCGTGATGACCAGCCGGTAGTTGTACCCGCCGTTAGACGGCTGCGTCTCGCCGCTGACGACGTTCTGGAGCTGCATCTTGAGTTCCCCCATGATGAGTGTGTAGATGCGCACGGCAAACCGCGCTACCTGCTGGATCGTCGGGTCCTTCACGTTCGCCACGGGCGTCCAGTTGGACGCCGGTGGCGGTGGAGGAGGAGAAGGAGGAGGTGGGAATGACGTCGGCGGCGGTGGCGGCGAAGGAGGAGGGAGTGGGGATGATGCTGGCGGAGGTGGCGAAGGAGGGGGCGGGGATGACGCCGCCGGCGGAGGTGACGAAGCAGGAGGAGGTGCGGTTGATGACTCCGGTGGCGGTGGTGGAGGAGATGGGCTGCCCGGTAGTGGGCTCGGGCTCGGCGGCGCTGGTGCAGTGTAGTTTTGGGCGTTGGCAGTGGCAAGCAAGGTGGCGAGCATGAGAGGAAGGACGACAAGAACCGACGGTCTGACCATGGCGGCCCCGGCGTAAACGACGTGTGTGGCTCGTGTTTCGTGCAAACTGCACGGTGTGCGCTACTGAGTTCTAGCTAGAGAGCGTGTGCTTGTGAGTGCATGCGAGCTAGCTATATTACTCGTGGGAAGTGGTGCAGGAAAGCTGTGTGCCCGTATGGTCTATTTATAGCGTAGCACTCCTAGCTCGCAGCAAATCTAGTCCGTCGACGTCGGTCAGTCGGTGGCCGTCCGTCAGCTAGCAAAGTCAGCTGGGGGGAGGTCGGCACCTCGGTATGGCACTGCCGCACTGGCAGTAAGTACACTTCCGCACAGATATCTGTGGAATGAAGTAGAGGCAGTGGTCTATTATCGAAAATAAACAAAAGAAATAGAAGTATAGTACAAAAGATTCTAGTCGCGCTATTTGTGTTGGCTGTGCCAGGCTAGTTCATGAATACAATACACAGAGGAGAGAGATAACTACCGATGGATCATGGACGCCAAATTTAAGGTTTGCTTGATAGAGCTTCTCATGTTCTAGATTTTTGGGGAGTAGTGATTGTGCAGCTAGAAGTGATTCTATAGAATAACCTTTAACTATAAAATCATTCTGGGCATAGAGTGAATCATGAAAAGCAATTTTTTTGGCCTAGTTTGTTAGTGCTCTCCTCTCCTCCATAAGATTTAAGCGGAGCGCTACCAAACGTCACTCCTCGGGTCCGCTCCGTCTGCTCAGTTGCAGAATCTCTTCCCCTGCTCCATGCACTTTGCGCTGCGGGTGAGGAGCGAAAAAACTTGCTCTCCCCACGCTTCGCTCCGGCTCCACCTCCACACCCTCTTCCTCCCACCGTCTCTCCCACTGTCCCTCTCTGCCTACCCCGCCCTCCTCCCACCGTACTCCTCCACAAGCCGAGCCACCCTGCATCGTCGCCTTCATCCAGCCATGCATAGGGCCCCTTGGTCCCTCTCCTCAATGCAGTAGGAGGCAGCAAAGTCCAACAGCAAAAGGTAGACCATCTCTTCGCCTCTCCCGTGCTCTCTGCTTGTGGCTCCTTGTCGGTGACGATAGGTGGACCACCTCCGCCTCTTGTCTTCCTCAACTGTGGCAAGAAGGGCTCCCTAAGCCATGGCGACATCCCATTACTTGCCCTCCTCGTCTTCCTTCATGGTACAGACCTCCCACAGCTCGCCCTCATTGTCTTTCCTCCATCGCGACAGCCTCTTAGTGCTCATGTCCGATGGCACAGGCTAGAGTATATGATGGTGTGTGGAGCAGAGTGGAGCTGGAGCGATAGTGGGTGGGAGCGGGTTGGGAGTCCTACCTAACTGGTCCTTCAGCTTTGAATCTCCTTGTTCATTCAGAGAACCACTTTACACAATTAGCACAAATTCACTTCTATAAAAAAACTATTTTGGCATAGCTCCTCTCGAATTTAGCCTAAAAACTTCTCTGGGAGCTCTACAAACATATCATATGACTCGAGTGCAATCAGACTCTTCGACCTCATCCTTAAGGGCCAGTTTGAATAACCGGATTATTATAATCTTAGACTATACATAGGATTATTATAATTGATATTATAGATTATAATAATTAGAGTGTTTGGATCTCTGGATTATTGTTTGTTAAAGTGAAAATACCTATACTTCCCCTTTAATTTGACGTCACTTTTTGACTTGATGTTGTGTTGTGTTCCTGGTGCCACCTTTTTACTTGCTGACTGAGAGAAGAAAAGATAAATGCCTCGGGATTATAGGATATTATAATATAAGGTTTCAATTATATCAATCCATCCTATAATCTAATCTATTTAGATCTTAATTAGATTATATTCGTCCATTCCAAATTATAAGACACATTGGCTTTCTAGATACATACAGCTTTTGCTACGCACTTAGATATATGTTATGTCTAGATACATTGTAAAAGCAATGTATCTAAAAAAGCTAAAAAATCTTATAATTTGCAACGGATGAAGTATTAGCTAATTATTATAATTACTATGGATCCAAATAGGACCTAAGAGCATCTCAAGAGTCTTTCTTAAATTCACTTTCTAAATCATTATTTGAAGAATAAAAATCACTCCGTGTATCTTTCCACCCTCTAATAACTTTTCTATATCTTATAGGCACACTAGAGAGTGATTCTCGCTCTCCATCTTTGTCTTGAGAGAATACAGAATAGAAGATATCTATATTTACATATTCAATTAAAGAGGCTATTGAAGAGTATTTTTTTATTAAAAATATCTATTCCTATAAATTAGAAAGGATATAAAAAGTGTGTGGAGTTGCTCTAGGAGCATCTTCAAGAGTCTTTCTTGAATTCACCCTCCAAATCAAACATTTGAAGAGTCATTTAATAAACTAGTAAAAGTGCACGTGCGGCACGCACGTGTTTTTAGATATTAATTATTTCTTAATATTGGTTCAATTTAAAAAATTATAAAAAGAGAATTCAAGATTGAGTAATATAAAGCTCGTATGGTACACAAATACGAACCGGTTTAAACTTTAAAAAAACCACAAAATAACTCTTTCAATTTCCTATATACTTACATTCTTTGTCATAGGTACTAAATAACTTTATTAATACCATGTTTATATAGCTTATTACGTACTCTATTGCAATGTTATCGATAGCTTCTTAAGTCCTTCTCTTACATATAGTGGAATGTTTTCAGCGCATTCATTCCTTTCGTATTTAAGGATATCGACGAGAAACCACATCCTTAGTAGGTTTGGATCCTGCAGGTAATTTGAAGAAAATAATTAGTTTATTGTATGAAGACCAATATATTAATGATAATATAACACTAATATGCAATACAATAAAGTTATTAATAGAACTATTAATTTATTTATTTTTGTACCATGCATATTTTCGAAATAAATCCTTGACCATTCCACGTGTTCATGAAATATAGGACCAAATATCCAGTTGATTTGCTGCACACAATTAAAAAAATCAGAATTATTTAAGCAGACGAGACTTATATTTTGTATGATGAAATTAGGCTTACACGTCTATTGTCTTTGGAACACATTTTGAAACAGTCTTCGCCAATCATATACATCGTCGTTCCATTTGGGATTTGATATTTGCATGGCTGTATCAAAATTCTTCCAATTTTTGTATTCTATCAGAGTAGAATTTGTATATAGCATTTCTCTCAATTAATTCTTCCCTCGGTGTTGGATCTATAATTGAAATTGATCTGTTCCTCATATCAAATGAATATAGACTGTACTCTCCACTATAATAAAAAGGCACCAGTATCTGCAACCAAATTATGTTTTGTTATATAATAATATATAATGATATATTGAATGTATAATTTTTTAATGAAAACTTACCAATTGGCATGAAGATGGATCAATTCCGTTTGCTGGCCAAGGCTGAAATATACTTTTTAGATCTTCAGGTTCAGACTTGACCCGAAATGAATAGTATTTGCGGTAGTTACAAATTTTCTGTATCAAAGAAAATTATGTTAATTCTTTTGAAATTAGATATTCAAATAATTACTTGCATTTAGTTATAGATAAATACATACACTGAGCTTCAAGTCTAGCATATGGCAAGATGGTTCCCGCATATACATCATTTCGTTGTTCGCGACCATACGCACCCCTAGGTTGAAACATTCAACATCCATAGAGCTATTTAGTTGTAAAATATCTTTTATTTTCTCCAATGTTAAGCTTATAATGTATGGATTAGAGCTTCGCACCCATTCTTTCCTGTAATTAGAGTATTGTATATGCATTAAAATGTTAGTAGTTAACACAATAATAAATATATTGATATATTTAAACGTTTACGATGGACAGTAGAATTTGTCACGTACCTCAAATTTTCTTCATCATTCGTCGATAAGATATATTCACATATCGAATAGTATATGTCATCAGACGACATTGTATTTTACTGTTTGTTTGGTTCTAGTAATATTGACTCATGCAAAGCTTGCTCAGGTTTTTCTATCATGACACAGTCATTAGGATCTACTTCTTCTTCTTCCGAACTGCTTTTCTCGTATTCACATATTGCAGCGGTGTTTAGTGGTGAATCCAATAGTATCGCAGCTAATTTTAATCTAAATTTTGTCATGTGTTCCTGCAAAGAAGTATATTTTTCATTCAATTATTTTGCTATATTTGTAACTTGTAAGCAATGTACAATATATTTGTTTAATGATATTTACCTGATTAATCTCATCAGTTAGTTGGTCTCCTGTCCAATATTCCATGTAATTTAGTACAAACAGACCACATGATGAGCTGCAGATACATAATTAATATATAAATTTATTTTCATAATTATTATTTAAAAATGCAAGTGAGAAGGTTATATTTGTACTGTATTAATTAAACATAGGAGTTTACCTGTCTTTTTGTTGAATTTCCCCCTTAAATACCTCGTCAAAAGGCCATGATGTTACCTTTAGGTCTGGCCAATTATAATCTTTTAGCTCCATATGCCTCGATGCTATTTCGATTTGACGCTCCACTCCTTTTAACTATTATTTGAATTACAAAATTTAACATTTTTTATATTGAGTTGAATTACAAAAGAATATAATATATAAGTACTTACAATTGTGATGAATTACAAAAGAATAGAGTAAACAAGTACTTACAACATATTTTAGGTCGCTCCTTCTCATGTATCCATACGAGTCTAGAATTTGAATCTGATGTTTTTTGCTATTTATCACACCAAGGTACCAATGACATTTGGTAATGTTAATAGGGATAAATACCTGTTGAAATATTAAATAGGGTTAAAATTCAAGCACATACGAAATTTGGTTATATGATATAAGTTTCGTAATTACCAAATCATGATTTATATATTGGGTCACCCGGTCCACGATCTCATCATCTCTACGACTTGATATATCTTTTTGGCAATTCTGACCATCACGATGGAGGATTCCTGTTCCTAATGTAGTCTCTAGGTAAATTGTTGACCCTTCATCCCTACACAATAGATGCTTTTCGGCTTTAAGGAG